ACTCTCACACTTGCTTTGGCCACGACCCTGGCCTCCTTGCTCGCCACCTCCTCGTGATCCCCACCACCGCCCCGTTCTTCCTTGCCAGGCCGCACTGGGCCCGTCAAGGCTGGACTGGAAGGGTTGAGATGGACTCGAATGGACCCCAGCCCTGGGGACCTCAGCTAGGCGGGGCGGAGAAGGCTCGGACACGGCTCATGGCTGGCGGCTGGCGTGGCGCAGGGCTCTGCGCAGCGCCCTCCCGGGCAGGTGCAAGAAGAGCTTCTAGGGGCCGGGCAGCCAAAGCTAAACGAACTGTGAAAGCAATCAGTTATGTTTGCCCTTTAGAAAAGAAAACAAAACTGTCTTCACAGCAGCTCTGAGGTAGGGGCTCATTTAGCCCTGGGGCTTGGGGTGGTGAAGCGCTGTTGACCACGAGCCTGGACTTGAGACCTGGTTTTCTTGACGGCCCCGCTGGCGCCGGGCAAAGGAAACAACGAGAGCAAAGAGGCTACGGGTGAGCGGGGGTGCAAAATAGTGGGGTCGAGGGGTACAGACAATCACGGCTGCCGGCTCCGCTCGCAGAGGCTGGGCGGGAGCGTTGCCTCTTAAGCCGGTCAGGAATGCCGACTAGGGTTCCAGTGTGGTGAGGGGCTGGCCCCGACCGGGAAGTTGACCCGGGGCCTGGGGCGGTCCGCTAGGAAGCAAGCGCAGCTAGCCGTAGGGGGATGCGGAGAGGAGGTGGCTCCCGGCCCCCTCGCCCCCTTGGCCCCTCCACGTCTTGCTTCTCGGGCACCCGTTGAAAAGAAGTCCCCTTGCAGCACACGCTGGTTAATAAAGGAGGGGGCTGTTTGCAGGCGGGGGCTCCGGCCACCTGAAGTCCCTGCACGCAGCCTCCCCGGGCCTGAGGAGCCGTGGGCGGCCGTGTGTACCCAGTCTCCCGTGCTGACAGCGAAGGATGAAGAATGATTAAAAGCAAAGTTGGTGTCACATTCTGGAGGTGTCAGAAGGTAGATGACCCCGGGGTTTTCGGACTGGGTACCTCGATGTGGTGTTCTTGCAGGCCACATGCCCATGAGACTGGCCTGCCCCACAGGTCTTACACTAAGGTCCCAAGTCCAACTTGCCCATGCTCCAGTACAGGGCTGCCGTCAGCTCTGGTCCCAACTTCAGGGCTGGGCAGAGGGTGCCCCCGGCCCCTCACCCTGGGCAGATGTCTCCAACCACTGTGGCGACCTCCAAGCTGCTCACAATACTCTTGGGCTCATCTGTACAAAGTGCTTCTTTTTCATTCTCCCCCAAATCATGATCAGAAAGTCCCACTGACCAAGTAATGAGCATACTTCAAAATGTTTGTGAAAAAGTAAGCTTGAAAGGCAATTTTATTTTGTTGCAAAAAAGCTAAAATTCATGCATATGAGGAGTCTTCAAATAATTCATGGAAATGCATATTATGGGAAAACTAGCCATGGGTTTCAAAATCTTTCACACCAAAGTAAACTCTGTTGATTCTTTTTTCCATGAACTTTTTTAATCCCCTTACGTACAATTTCACTGAAATAATTAGACATGGCTTAAACTAGTTTAGCTTTTCTCATCCTGTCTTCTCTCTCAACATAGCTATTTCTAATGCCAACCTTATGCCAGCCTGCATCTATATAATAAACAGAAATGCAAGCCTGTATTTCCCAAGAATATCAAGCTGTTAGTGTTTTTCTCATAGGAAGTGAGTGCAATTTCTTTTTTCCCCCTTTTGTTTTTTTTTTTTCTATTACAATCTTCATTTGTTCCTATAAATAAAAAAGCAGTGAAGGTTGCTAAAAAGGACACAAGTGGAGATTTGCCCCTCAATTATAAACAGTTATAGGTTGCTGAGAATACCTACAATGCTGGATAAATTAATAAGCAGGCTACTGAAAAGTAACAGCCAGGCATGAGGGCAGGACTGCGAGAGGCTACAGACACCCAGGCAGATCTGGACTTACTGGGGGAACCTGGGCATCAGTTTCTGTGGCCTCTGGGGACTGCAGGAGGGAGGGGGGTGAGTGCCCACCCAGAAGGGGGCCTGCCAGGAGACTGCCCTGCACTGGGGCTCTGGAGGACCACAGCCTCCGCATGAGGTGGCCTCAACTCTTCCATGCCAGACTGTAGGGAGCACTGCCTTTCTTGCATCCTGTGCTGATCTGAGGTGGGGGAGAAGGACCTCGCTCACACAGGCTTTCAGCCTGAATTCACATAACCAGGCCCCCCCAAAGGAAAAACCAAAAGACCCTGAAGCCAACGATTTTGATTAAAATTACTCATGGTAATTTTGGCCTGTTGGGATGCTGGATGGGGCACCCCTACCTCACATCAGAGTGCCTGGGTTTGGCTCCCAGCTCCTGATTCCAGCTTCCTGTTAGTGCAGACCTTGGGTGGCAGCAGGTGACAACTCAAATGGCTGGATTCCTGCTACCCATGTGGGAGAGCTGCGTTGAGTTCTGAGCTCTTGGCTTTGGCCTGGTTCAGCCAGGGCTGTTGCAAGCATCTGAGGAGTGGACTGGCTAATGGAGGATTTCTCTTTCTCTCCATCTCTCTGCCTCTCAAAATGAAAAACAAAGGTCTTGGCTTTGTAATACCCACAGGTACCAGCAGGGACAGGTATAAGTCCTTCCCAGTAGAACTCAAAAATTTGCTTTCATTGCTGGTCTAAAAGAATTCCCACAGGTAATGTTACAAAGAAAATGAGCTGCCTCCAAAGGAAATAATTCACCAAATCTACAAGCAAACAGGGCACTATGAGAGAAAGACAGCAGGAGCAAGATGGAAGACCAAACTTTGTATGTGGGAATTATCAGACCTAGTTTATAAAATAAGTATGTTTGATGTAATTTAATAAGTAAAAGAGAACTTGAAAATATGACAAGGGACCAGTATTGTGGCACAGCAGGTTAAGCTGCTGCCTGTGATGCCAGCATCCCATGTGGATGCCAGTTTGAATTCCAGCTGCCCAACTTCTAACCCAGCTCTCTGCTAGTATGCCTGGGAAAACAGTGGAAGATGGCCCAAATGCGTGGGCACCTGCATCCATGTGGGAGACCTGGATGGATTTCTGGGCTCCTGGCCCAGTTTGGGCCATTGAGGCCATTTGAGGAGTGAACCAGTGGAGGAAGATATATCTCTCTCTTTCTCCCTTTCAAATTCTTTTCAAAAAAATAAAATAGGAAATCAGCAAATAAAAGAGTTATTTGCACCTCTATGTTTATCGCAGCTCAATTTACAAAATCTAAGACATGGAATCAACCTAAATGCCTGTCAGATGAAGACTGGATAAAGAAATTATGGGATAGTATTTTATGGAATACTACACAGCAGTAAAAAAGGAAATCTGGAAAACATCATACTCCATGATCTGTGATAACTAATAGAGCACCTAAAAGGAAATCTGTAGATGTGAAATTGACTCTGAGAAGAAATGACTTAAACAGCCCTTGTCTTAACTGTTGAAGAACAGTTTTTTCTTTCTTCTTCATACTATTTGTTGAACTGTTTACTTAACATAGAGTTAAGTGTATATGTGTATAAAGTCAACAGAAAATAGATGTCAGTAAAAAATAAGAGTGGGGGCCGGTGCCGCAGCTCACTAGGCTAATCCATGGGAGACCAGGAGAAGCACCTGGCTCCTGGCTTCAGATCAGCGCGGTGCGCCGGCCACAGTGCGCTGGCTGCAGCGGCCATTGGAGGGTGAACCAACGGAAAAGGAAGACCTTTCTCTCTGTCTCTCTCTCACTGTCCACTCTGCCTGTCCAAAAAAAAAAAAACAAAAAAACAACTTGTTCCCAGTTTGTGTGTGTGTGTGTGTTTGTGTGTATGTGCACAAATTGTTGAAATATTTACTTAGTATAGAGTTGGTCTTCTGTGTATAAAGTTAATTGAAAATGAATCTTTTTTTTTTTTTTGACAGGCAGAGTGGACAGTGAGAGAGAGAGACAGAGAGAAAGAGCTCTCCTTTTCCGTTGATTCACCGTCCCCATGGCCGAACTACTGCCTGCCGCACAGCGGCCGGCGCACGCGCTGATCCGATGGCAGGAGCCAGGAGCCAGGTGCTTTTCCTGGTCTCCCATGGGGTGCAGGGCCCAAGCACCTGGGCCATCCTCCACTACACTCCCCGGCCACAGCAGAGAGCTAGCCTGGAAGAGGGGCAACCGGGACAGAATCCGGCGCCCCAACCGGGACTAGAACCCGGTGTGCTGGCGCCGCAAGGTGGAGGATTAGCCTATTGAGCTGCGGCTCTGGCAAAATGAATCTTAATGCAGAATTGGATTGGGAATGGGAGAGGGAGGAGGATGTGGGGTGGGAGTGAACGTGGGAGGGCAAGTGTGGTGGGAAGAATCACTATATTCCTAAAGTTGTACTTATGAAATTTATACTCATTAAATAAAGGTTGCTTTAGGAAAAAAAGAAAATAGGACAAGAGTGAGCAGATACAGAAAAAACAAACTCCCAGAAATGAAAAATATAGGGGCTGGTGCTGTGGCATAGAGGGTAAAGCCATTACTTGCAGTGCTGGCATCGCATATGGGCACCATTTTGAGTCCTGGCTGCTCTACTTTAGATCCAGCTCCCTGCTAATGCATCTGGGAAGGCAGCAGAGGACGACCCAAATGTTTGGGCCCCTGCACCCACCTGGGAGATCTGGAAGAAGCTCCTGACTCCTGGCTTCTGATTGGCCCAGCTCTGGCTACCGTGGCCATTTGGGGAGTGAACCAAGGATGGAAGATCTCTCTCGCTTGTTCGCTCTCGCTCTCACTCTCACTGCCTCTGTAACTCTACCTTTCAAACAAAGAAATAAATCTTTTTAAAAAATGAAAAATATGACCGGCACCGCAGCTCACTAGGATAATCCTCCGCCTGTGGCACCGGCATTCGGGTTCTAGTCCCTGTCAGGGTGCTGGATTCTGTCCCAGCTGCTTCTCTTCCAGTCCAGCTCTCTGCTGTGGCCCGAGAAGGCAGTGGAGGATAGCCCAAGTGCTTGGGCCCTGCACCTGCATGGGAGACCAGGAGAAAGCGCCTGGCTCCTGCCTTCGGATCGGCGCAGCATGCCGGCCGTAGCAGCCATTTGGGGAGTGAACCAACGGAAGGAAGACCTTTCTCTCTGTCTCTCTCTCTCACTGTCTAACTCTATCTTTCAAAAAAAAAAAAAAGAAGAAAGAAAGAAAGAAAGAAAGAAAGAAAGAAAGAAAGAAAGAAAGAAAGAAAGAAAGAAATGAAAAATATAATCATTGAAATGTAAAACTCAGTGGATAGGTTTAACAGCTGGGCAGGTACTCCTGGAGGGATGAAGACAGACATGGAAGACCTAACTTACCCAAAATATAGTCCAGAAAGATAAAAACACAGAAAAGTCAAAAATACATAGAAGACAGACTGAGAAGGTCAATCATTTTTAATCACGATTCTAGAGGGAAAGTAAATTAAAGGAAGAGACAATATTTAAAGAAATAATGGACAATTGCTTTCCAAGAATAATGAAGGACCCAGTCCACAGATTCAAGAAGCCAAAAAATTCTAGCAATGATTAAAAAAGAAATGTGCGCCCAGAATCATCATAGTGAAAACACAGAACACAGGATACAAATATTAAAAGATTAAATAATTTATCATAATGGAAATCAAATATGTAACTTCTAAACTACTAGTGAGAGAAAAATGAGGAAAAATCCATCCAAAAGAAGGTAGACTAGAAAAACACAGAAAAGACAAGAGGGGAAAAAAGAAAGCTTACAATAAGATGGTCAAAAATGAACATGTCAATAATTACATTAAGTGTTTCAAAAGCGGCAGTGCAAAGACAAATAACTTTGAATTGGATAAGCAAAGTCCAGCTATCTGTTCTTTATTTTTAAAAAGTTTTTTTTTTTTTTCATCTACTTGGAAGGCAGACTGACAGAGACCAAGAAAGAGAGAGACAGAGAGATCTTCCATCTGCCGGTTTACTCCCCAAATGGCTGCAATGGCCCTGGGTTGGGCTGAAGCCGGGAGCCCAGAGCTCCACTCAGGTCTCCTGCGTGAGTGGCAGGGACCTAAGCACTCGAGCCACCACCTGCTGCCTCTCAGGAAGCAGCCCAGGAGCGGGACTGGAAGCAGTCAGGACTCAACACTGGAACTCCAGTATGAGCTGCCGGCACCTCAGAGGGGAGCTTGGCCGAGGAGCCACTACACCCACCCCGACAAGTTTTCTTTTTACAAGACACAGATGAACGCATTAGTATACAGAAAGGTTGGGAGTAAAAAGGTAGAAAATGATGAACCAGGTAAATATTTAATAAAAGGAAAATTGTATAGTTATGTTAATATCAGACAAAATATACTTTAGGGAAAAACATTAGTAGAGATAAAAAGTGACTGTATTGCTGATATTCCCTTCCAATAAGATATAACACATGGGGCGGCACTGTGGCATAGCAGGAAAAGCCGCCGCCTGCAGTGCCAGCATCCCACATGGGTGCTGGTTTGAGTCCAGGCTGCTCCGCTTCTGATCCAGCTCTCTGCTATGACCTGGGAAAGCAGTAGAAGATGGTCCAAGTCCTTGGGCCCCTGTACCTGCATGGGAGACATGGAGGAAATTCCTGGCTCCTGGCTTCAGATTGGCCCAGCTCTGGCCGTTGCTGCCATCTGGGGAGTGAAGCAGTGGATGGAAGATCTCTCTGTCTCTGTTTGCCTCTGCCTCCCTGTAACTCCACCTTTCAAATAAGTTAATAAATCTTTTTTTTTATTTTTTTTTATTTTTGACAGGCAGAGTGGACACTGCACTCCCGGGCCATAGCAGAGAGCTGGCCTGGAAGAGGGGCAACCGGGACAGAATCTGGCGCCCCAATCGGGACTAGAACCTGGTGTGCCGGCGCCACAGGTGGAGGATTAGCCTAGTGAGCCATGGCGCCAGCCAGTTAATAAATCTTTTAAAAAAAGATATAACACTTCTGAACTTGTATAAACACAGTAACATAGCTTAAAAATGAGATAGAATTACAAGGAAAATTTGACAAGCTCACAATCTCATGAGAGTTTTCTTAGCACACTTTTTTAAAAAGATTTATTTATTTATTTATTTGAAAGTCAGAGTTGTTTTAAAATTTTTTTTAATTTTATTATTTGACAGAGTTAGACAGTGAGAGAGAGAGAGAGAGACAGAAAGGTCTTCCTTCTGTTGGTTCACTTCCTCAAATGGCCGCTACGGTCAGCACTGTGCCAATCCGATGCCAGGAGCCAGGTGCTTCTCCTGGTCTCCCATGTGGGTGCAGGGCCCAAGGACCTGGGCCATCCTCCACTGCCCTCCCGGGCCACAGCAGAGAGCTGGACTGGGAGAGGAGCAACCAGGACTAGAACCCGGCGCCCATACGGGATGCCGGCACCACACGTGGAGGATTAACCAAGTAAGCCACGGCGCTGGCCCCTAAAGTGAGGCAGAGAGAGAGTCTTCTATCCGCTGGTTCACTCCCCAGTTGGCTGCAAAAGCCAGAGCTGCACCAATCCGAGGCCAGGAGCCAGGAGCCAGGAGCCAGGAACTTCTTCCAGGTCTCCCACGTGGGTGCAGGGGCCCAAGGACTTGGGCCATCTTCTACTGTTTCCCCTGGCCATAGTGGAGAGCTGGATTGGAAGTGGAGCAGCTGGGATTAAAACCGGCACTCATGTGGGATGCCAGTACTGCAGGTGGTGGCTTTACCCACTACACCACAGTGCAGGCCCCTCAGCACACATTTCTGTGGTTGATAAAATAATCAATAGAGGAGCCAGTGCTGTGGTGTAGTAGGTTGAGCCTCTGCCTGTGGCACAGGCATCCCACATGGGCACTGGTTCATGTCCTGGCTGCTCCTTTCTAATCCAGCTCTCTGCTATAGCCAGGAAAGCAGTAGAGGATGGCCCAAGTGCTTGGGCCCCTGGAGCTGCATGGGAGACCTGGAGGAAGCTCCTCGCTCCTGGCTTTGGATCGGCACAGCTCTGGCCATTGCAGCCATTTAGGAAGTGAACCAGTGGACAGAAGATCTCTCTCTCTCTCTCTCTCTCTGTCCCCCTCTCCCCACCCCCCTTTGTGACTCTACCTTTCAAAAAAATCAAGTCTTTAAAAAAAGCAGAAAATCAATATGGTTATAAAAGACTATCATCATGATTAACAATTGCAATCTGATGAACATATGTAAAATTCTATACACAATATATACAGAATATGAATATGAGGATACCTCAAAAATTTCATGAAAAATGTTATTGCAAGACAATTTTATTTTGGTACCAAAAATTTGTAATACATGCAGTTATTTTCATAATACACATTGCCTATGTGCTTTTTTAAGAAAATTTGTGTGTTTTTTTTTGTTTTGTTTTGTTTTTTTTTTTTGACAGACAGAGTGGACAGTGAGAGAGAGAGACAGAGAGAAAGGTCTTCCTTTGCCGTTGGTTCACCCTCCAATGGCCACCGCGGCCGGCGCGCTGCGGCCGGGGCACTGCGCTGATCTGATGGCAGGAGCCAGGAGCCAGGTGTTTTTCCTGGTCTCCTATGGGGTGCAGGGCCCAAGCACTTGGGCCATCCTCCACTGCACTCCCTGGCCACAGCAGAGAGCTGGCCTGGAAGAGAGGCAACCGGGACAGAATCCAGCGCCCCAACCGGGACTAGAACCCGGTGTGCCGGTGCCGCTAGGCGGAGGATTAGCCTAGTGAGCCGCGGCGCCAGCGAAAATTTGTGTATTTGAAAATAAGAGTTACAGAGACAGAGAGAGAAAAAGAGAGAGAGAAAACTTCCATCCACTGGTTGACTCCCCAAATGGCTGCAACAGCCAGGACTGGGCCAGGCTGAATCCAGGAACCAGGAACTTCATTTGGGTCTCCCATGTAGGTGCAGGACCCAAGCCCTTAGGCCATCGTCTGCTGCTTTCCCAGGCATGGAGCTGGATTGGAAGTGGAGTGGCTGAGACTTGAGCTGGCACCCAAAAGGGATGCCAGTGTTGCAGGCAGCAGCTTCACTCACTGTACCACAATACTGGCCCTGTCTGAACTTTTTAAAGGCTTTTTCTATGTGTTTTCACGTACTCATGGAATGTTTACCAAAAAAAGACCATTAAGAGGCAGGCATTGCAGCCCCATCTGACACAGGCCTGCATTCTTGTCACGCTCTGCTGGGCCTCAGCCTGCCTGAGAGGAGGAATGTTCTACTGTGCAGGCCCCAGGGCGGCTGACACACAGCGGCTCTGGATTCCGGAAGTCTTGGCGTTTCATGGCCTGGGCGCAGGAGGGATGAGCAGAGAGAATCGGGAAGGACCCCAGTGAGCTTGTGCCGCACCCGCTGCTTCTAAGCACCTTTTCAGGAAGTGTTGACAGAGGGTGGAGGAGCAGCCACCACACACTTTCCCGGGTTGATGGCTGCCACACCCAACTCTTCTGCCCCACCGCTGTAAGGAGACGTTGACCGTTGACCGGAAGCCGTTCCTCTCCCTGCGCCTCTGGAACCTAACTGCGGTCAGGCTGAAGAGAGAGCCGGGATGGAGACACTTCAGAGGAGCTGGTCCTGGGACCCTTCAGAGTATTTTCCATGTGCTGTGTGGACACTCCTGCCACGGGCCTCCTGCCTTGCAACCTTGGCCGCTCTCCTCCCAGGAGAAGACAGCTTGGGGAGCCTGCTCTGCCTGCCGCACCATCTTTTGACCTGAGACTGGGGGTCACTCCAGTTGCTCTGTGTACCATGCTCCTGGGAAACATGTGTACCAAGAACTGGCCCCCTGGCTACTTGCAGAAGCTGGCTGGCTGTGTTCTGTTACATTGAGGGATAAATAGAAATGTGGCTTTGAACAAAAAAATAGGCAGGTTTTTACTTAGCAGTTATGCTGCCCACATCCCACAGCAGGTGCTTGGGTCTAGGTCCAAGCTCTAGCTCCTAATCCCAGCTTCCTGCTAATGCAGCCCCTGGAAGGTAGTGATGTGTAGATGCCTTAAGTAGTTGAGTTCCCGCCACCCATGTGGGAGACCTGGACCAAGTTCCTGGCTCCTGGCTTCAACCTGGCCCAGCCCTGGCTTTGGGGGCCATTTAGGGAGTGAACCAGCAGGTAAAGATCAATCTATCTCTCTACTTTTCAAATAAAATGTTTATTTATTTACAGATGTATTTGACAGAGTTACAGAGAGAGAGGGGAAAAGACAGAGAGATCTTCCGTCTACTGGTTCACACCCCAGACTGGTTCACTACCTAGATGGTAGTAACAGCCAGCACTGGGCCAAGCTGAAGTTAGGAGCCAATAGCTTTATGCAGCACTCTGATATGGGATGCCACTGTCACAAGTGGAGGCATAACCCACTGCACCACAATGCTGGCCCAATTTCAAATCTTTGATACAGACACATAGTTCATTAATTTTGAAGCTCATCTGTTTTTTATGAGAGGTATTTAAGTCTATACAGTTTTCTTTAAATATGGTATTAATTGAACCCCAACTTTTTTTTTAAGATTTATTTTTATTTATTTGAAAGACAGAGTTACAGAGAGAGGTAGGGACACAGAGAGAGAGGTCTTCCATCCACTGGTTCACTTTCCAGATGGCCGCAACAGCAGGAGCTACTCCCATCTGAAGCTACAGCTAGGAGCTTCTTCCGGGCGCAGGGGCCCAAGGACTTGGGCCATCTTCTACTGCTATCCCAAGCCATAGCAAAGAGCTGGCATCCCAAAGTTTTCACTGTGTTAGAGTTTCAGCATCTTTCAGTTCTAACTATTTTATTTTTGAAGATGTATTTATTCATTTGAAAGGTAGAGTTACAGAGAGGCAGAGAGAGAGTTTTCCATCAGCTGGTTCACTCAGCAAATGGCTGCAATGGCCAGATCTGGGCCAACCCAAAGCCAGGAGCCTGGAGTTTCTTCCGGGTCTTCCACATGGGTACAGGGGCCCAAGGACTTGGGCCATTTTCCACTGCTTTCTCAGGCCATACAGAGAGCTGAATCAGAAGTGGGGCAGCAGGGACTTGAACCAGTGCCCATATTGGGGGTGGGGTGCCAGTACTGCAGGGAGTCGGCTTTACCTGTTATGCCACAGTGCTGACTCCTGAAATTTTTTATTTTTAAAGATTTATTTATTTGAAAGGCAAAGTTACAGAGAGAGAGAAAGAGAGATCTTTTATCCACTGGTTCACTTCCCAAATGGCCTCAGTGGCCAGGGCTGGGCTAGGCCAAAGCCAGGAGCCAGAGGCTTCACCCAGTTTCTCGCACATGAGTGGCTAGGAACCAGCATCCGTAAGAGATGCAGGCATTGCCGGTGTATGCTTAACCCGTTATGCCACAATGCCAGTTCTGATAGATTTTTTTAAAAGCAGTAAAATAATTCCCAAAAACTGGGGCCGCTGTTGTGGCGTAGCGGGTAAAGCCACCACCTGCAGTGCCGGCATCCCATATAGGCGCCAGTTCAAGTCCCTCCTGCTCAACTGTTGTTGTTGTTTGTTTTGTTTTGTTTTGTTTTGTTTTTGACAAGCAGAGTTAGACAATGAGAGAGACAGAGAGAACGGTCTTCCTTTTTCTGTTGGTTCACACCCCCAAATGGCCGCCACGGCCAGCGTGCTGCGGCCGGCGCTACACTGACCCAAAGCCAGGAGCCAGGTGCTTCCTCCTGGTCTCCCATGTGGGTGCAGGGCCCAAGCACTTGGGCCATCCTCCACTGCCCTCCCAGGCCACAGCAGAGAGCTGGACTGGAAGAGGAGCAGCTGGGACAGAATCTGGCGCCCCAACTGGGACTAGAACCCGGGGTGCCGGCACCTCAGGCAGAGGATTAGCCTAGTGAGCCGCGGCGCCGGCCTCTGCTGCTTAACTTCTGATCCAGCTCTCTGCTATGGCCTGGGGAAGCAATGGAAGATGGCCCAAGTCCTTGGGTCCCTGCACCCACATGGGAGACCAGAGGAAGTTCCTGGCTCCTGGTTTCAGATAGGCATAGCTTCTACCATTCCAGCCATTTTGGGTGTGAACCAGCAGATGGAAGACCTCTCTCTCTCTCTCTCTCTGCCTCCGACTTTCTGTAACTCTTTCAAATAAATAAATCTAAAAAAAAAAAAATAATTCCCAAAAACTAAAAGGAAGAAAAAAATGAGAAAAGAAACCAACTAAAAAGAATAAAGCCACAGTTGGTATTTTGAAAAGACTAACAAAATCAACAAAATTCTAGTGAGAATGATCAAGGAACAAAGCCACAAAAGCCAGTGTTAGGAACAGAAATGAGTTAGGAATATAAACCACAAACAGGAAAAATATATTTGCCATGCAATGAGGAATTCCTAAGTAAAGGAACACCACAGGGGCCACCGCTACAGTGCTGGCATCCCAAATGGGTGCTGACTCACCACCCGGCTGTGCAATTCCCATCCAGCTCTCTGCCATGGCCTGGGAGAGCAGTAGAAGATGGCCCAGGTCCTTGAGCCCCTGCACTCACGTGGGAGACTGAAAAGAAGCTCCTTGCTTTGGAGAGGACCAGCTCCGGCCCTTGCGGCCATTTGGGGACTGAATCTATGGATGGAAGACCTCTCTTCTCACCCCACCCCCATCTGTCTCTCTCTCTCTCTCTGCCTCTGCCTCTTCCTCTCTGTAACTCTGTCTTTCAAATAAATAAATAAATCTTTTTTAAAATAAAAAAGGAATTCCAAAGAGGAAACAAATATATTCCCACATTTGAAAAAGTTTCAGCCTCATTAGTAATCAAAGAAATTCATATTAGTGCTCACAAGAGTCACAAAATCAACATGTCAGACAACCCCAAGTACAAATGAGCATGTGAAGCTGTGGGCACTGCAATTCGCAGCAGCTGGCAGGAGCCTCTGGAAACAACTGGGCACCGCTCAGTGATGCTAAGTGTGTGTACTCCATGACTCAGCGGTTCTACTTCTAGGTATACACATCTGGGAACTCTTATATAAGATGTTTATACCAGCATTGTTATGAAGGGGGGGAGGGGGAAGAACTACGCTAACCTAGCTGAGAAAACCAGTCAGAGGGATAAAAAGGTTTCAGTAATGTTAACCCATATAGCAATGCCATATAGCAATCAAAAGGAACTACAGCTGCAAGTAACAACCTGATGTTAACTTAACAGAATGTCAAATTAAATTAAACAACTTGGTGTTAATTTAAGACAATGTTAAATTAAATAAGCAAGCAATCAATGAGTTACATGAAGGCTTACCAAGTGATCTAAAGTTCAAACACAGGGGGCAGCAATGTTGTATAATAGGTTAAGTCTATGCCTGAGGTGCCTGCATCCCATATGGGTGCTAATACAAGTCCTCACTGCTCCACTTCCAATCCAGCTCCCTGCTAGTGGCCTGGGAAAGTATTGGAGGATGACCCAAGTGCTTGGGCCCCTGCACCCACGTGAGAGACACAGAAGAAGCTCCCGGCTTCAGCCTGGCCCAGGCACAGCTGTTGTGGCCATTTGGGGAGCAAATCAGCAGACAGATCTCTCTCTCTCTTCTCTCCTTCCATCTGATTCTGCCTTTCAAATAAATAAAATCTTAAAAACAACAACAAAAAATAAAGTTCAAACAGTGACACACACCGAATTACTTAGGTAGGGTGTGATGGTCAATTTCCTTTATCAGCTTGGCTAGGCCACAGACCTATTCATTCAAAGGCTGATCTAAGTATTGCTGTGAAGTTGAGAAAAAATCCATCCTCAGCTGACCTGAAGGGAGATCATCCTGGATTTGTGTGGACCTGACCTGATCTGTTGAAGGCCCTTGGTGCACCCCACTGTGGCCTGCAGCCTGACCTTCCTGATGGCTGCCCCACACTTCAGACTTGTCTAGCCAGGCAGCCCCCACAAATGCACAAGCCAGTTCCTCACAGTACGTGGTTTTTGTTGTTGTTGTTGTTGTTGTTGTTGTTGTTTTTAATTTTTTGACAGGCAGAGTGGACAGTGAGAGAGAGAGACAGAGAGAAAGGTCTTCCTTTTGCCGTTGGTTCACCCTCCAATGGCCGCCACGGCCGGCGCACTGCGGCCGGCGCACCACGCTGATCGGATGGCAGGAGCCAGGTGCTTCTCTTGGTCTCCCATGGGGTGCAGGGCCCAAGCACTTGGGCCATCCTCCACTGCACTCCCTGGCCACAGCAGAGAGCTGGCCTGGAAGAGGGGCAACTGGGACAGAATCCAACGCCCTGACCAGGACTAGAACCTGGTGTGCCGGCGCCGCAAGGCAGAGGATTAGCCTAGTGAGCCGCGGCGCCAGCTTGTACGTGTTCTTAACACGTGTATCTCATACTGGTTCCTTCTGGCTGAACCGTGACATATATATTTGGAGACTGGAAGCGATTCTAGATAAACAGAATCTTAAGGATGAGTTTTCCGATAGGTTCTAGGGTTTTCTGGAATTGATTCTCTAGTCTGCATAGATTTAACAGCACACATGATGGGTTCCATAGGTGAAGGGAACACTGGTGGCCCACAGAGGCATTAGATACCCAGGCTACCACCTTGGATACTCTAGGCAAGGTTCTGGGTGACCTGGTAACCTGACACTTTGGACCACTCCAGTAAAATGAATGAGCATCTCAAGACCTGGCTGGACGCTCCTCCATGTGCTGAACGAACAGGGAAAGGATGGGCTCAAGGCTTCACATTCTCAGCTCAGGTTATAAAATGACCGAAAGTCTCTAGGCCTATCCTTATCTCCTGTAGCCAGAGGGCTGAGACAGCTGAAAACTAAACCCAGAATCTGGCCCTCCACGTGACTTAATTAGGGTGTACTCTGTATTCCTGGTGGTGTAGCTATCCACCATTAAGAGTCTGGGCATTTGGGAAGGCAGTGGAGGATGGCCCAAGTGCTTGGGCCCTACACCTGCATGGGAGGCCAGGAGGAAGCACCTAGCTCCTGGCTTCGGATCGGCGCAGCGCTGGCTGTAGCGGCCATTTGGGGAGTGAACCAGTGGAAGGAAGACCTTCCTCTCTGTCTCTCTCTCTAACTTGTTAAAAAAAAAAAAAGAAAAAAGAGTGTGGGCACTGACTGTGAAGGAATGGGGTCTTGACCTTGTTGTCTCCTCTCTATGACAGCATCCCGGACAGCACTAGTGACTGAAGGTCAGGCTCTAAAGTGGCTCAGTCAGGAAGTCACCATTTCTGGAGGAGTGCCAAGCAGGTTGTCAGACTTGTTTTCCCACCTCCCAGAGAGGGGACTGAAGTACCATTCAGCATGCAGTGGGCTCAGGTTCTCACCGATCTCTGAGAAGAGGGTTAGAATTTCTATTGCAGGGAGTTAATCAGTTCTCATCAGTTCCCGAGAGGCAGCTTCTAGGGTAGTGGAAGTGGGCTGGAGACAGTGGAGTTGAGTGTAGCTAACTTTTGTAGGGAAATGGGTAGAATCCACTGTGGTTCCCAAGTTTTTATTAGTACAAGAAACCACCTGCCATGCTGGCTGTGGATAGGAGGTGGTGATCAGGATGGGGCCTGTGAGACCCAGAGCTGGGGCATACCCTAGCATCTTATCAGTCTGAGGTCTCCAGAGAAGCACAAGCAAAAGGGAATATATATATATATTTTTTTAAGATTTATTTTATTTATTTGAAAGACAGTTACGGGGGCGAGGAGTGTCTTCCATCCTCTGGTTCACTTCCCAAATGGCCACAACAGCCAGAGCCAAGGCAATCTGAAGTCAGGAGCCAGGAGGTTCTTTCGGGTCTCCCACATGGATACAGGGGCCCAAAGACTTGGGCCATTTTCCACTGCTTTCTCAGGCCATAGCAGAGAGCTGGATCAGAAGTGGAGCAGCTGGGACTAGAACCAGTGCTCACATGGGATGCCGGTGCCTCAGGCCAGGGCTTTAACTCGCTGAGCCACAGTACCAGCCCCAAGAATGTATTGTTTACTATGGGAACTGGCTCATCCAATCACAGAGGCCAAGAAGTCCCAGAATCTGCCATGTGCAAGCGGGAGACGCAGGAAAGCGGACTGTCGGAGTCCAAGGCCTCATCAGCAGAGGAGCCCGAGTAACTCCCAGTCCTAGCCCAGAGGCCTGAGAACCTGGGCTGGGGAAGGGAGCCGGGGCTGGCATAAGCCCAGAGTTCCAAGGCCCAAGAGCTAGTTCTGAGGTCTGAAGGCAGAGTTGGGTGTCCCAAATCAAGAAGAGAGCCAGTCCACCCTCTCTGTCTTTTGTTCTGTTGACTGGATAATGCCCGCCCACATTAGTGAGGCCGATATTCTATCCACTCTGGTGTGCATCTCTTCCTGAAACACTACCACAGACACCCCAGAAAAAACGTGTAGCAGCTCTCTATGGCATCTCTTAGCCAAGTCAAGTTCACACATAAAATCAATGCCACAGACCCTTGGCAAACACAATTAGCCAATAGCCTAGGTTATTCAACAGAGGCCTCAGTTTCCCCACTTGTAAAATGGGAATAAGACCCACTGCCCTAGACTGTGGAAACGATGAGGTGAGACATGCATGACAACTGTCTGGCATTTGGCATGAACTTGGTTAAGAAGTAACTATTACCAGTTTTCTTGAGTGGCGATCCATTTGGAGTTTGTGCAGACAGTTGGACATCTTGTTCCTGACGCTGTAATAACTACCAAATGTTATCCTCAGCAGGTGCAGATCTGTGGATCCAGAGCTACAGCTCTTGGCTTAATGTGTGGTGACAGTCTGCTCTGAAGATGGCAGCCAGGGGGCTCTGGGGTGGCCTCAGCCTGCTCCGAGTGCTATGGTGTCTCCTCCCGCAGACAGGTTACGTGCACCCTGATGAGTTCTTCCAGTCACCTGAGGTCATGGCAGGTAAAGCTCCCCACGTGCGGCCGAGCTAAAGTGCAGCAGAGCGAAGAACAGAGTGGATGTTCTGGGGGAGGGAGAAGCCCATCTGTGCACACGAGCAGTAGCTGCAGCCCTTCTGTGATAATAACTGGGAAGTGAGGACTTCACGCCTCCTCCCTGAGTGGTAACACTGACCTTTGGGATGACCCTAATAAAACGCCAGCCTCTTTCTGGGTTTCCTGTTGGGATCAACAGTACAGATATTCAAAATCAAAGCTGTGTTGAACTTCTTGGTGGAACAATTTTAGAACTGGGCTTCCCCACCTGTTGTGGGTGTGACCTGGCATGATGAAACTTTTCTTGTGTAGGTTTGAGTGCAGGTGAGGGAACCTAGACCCAGGATACTAGCCTGTTAGAACAGAGCTGCGAGGTGGTACGGCACATTCCATGGGGATGGTTGCCAGCAGCCTTGAGGCTTCTCCAAAGCTGTGGGCTTCCTCCTCATGGCTCTATACGGCTGCTTGAGCTCCAGCTATCAAGCTTAAAAACAAGTCTTTCCAGCAACAGAAGAGATGCACATGCCTTTTCTTTCTAAAGTCATATTTTTTGCCCATTTCTACCCTACTGGTAAGAATGTATCATAAAGGAAGTGGAGAAATGTGGTCTTTATGGACAAGTGCTCAGAAAAGGCAGGAAGAGGGGAGTGGGATTCGTGTAGAGGAGACAGCTACTTCCGCCACAGGACTCAACAGGTACATTTATCTTTTCAGTTGAGTTTCAGCCTCCCTTTGCACTCATTTTTAAAAACCTGAGCTAGTAAGCAGCAGCCAGATTGACCCCAGATTTTGTTTCCTTTTCCCCTTCTGACACACACAGATACAACGGGCCAAAACCCTGGAGGGACTAGCAGAAGCCAAGAGCCTGCCAGGCCTTATAGTCAGCTCCAGACAGCCAGAAAGGCTGTCAAACATGGGATGCTGTGCACTACAGGCCTTGGAGTGGAGTACAGTCTGTGCCCAGCCCTTGCCTCTCAGAGCTCCAGGACATGGGTGCCCAGGGCATGGACCAGCCTTAGGTGGCAAAGATCCTTTAAAATTATCTAAGTACTGCTTTAATACTTTCTTCTTAGGAGAAATTTTAAGAATCTGAAGCAGAACTAAATCGCCTTTACTGTAACCCAGGCTTGCTCATTCCCTGACCCCATTCTCATACCCCCTCCCCCTGGAAAACCACCACTATCATGGAGTTTCTGACTCGGACTTGTAGATCTTTGAGCCCCAAGATAGGGACCACACCCCCTTTCCAGGGTACAGTTCTCCCTGCCCCCTTCACAAGGTGGAGCCTCACTCATCTGGGGTTCCTGCTATTTGCTTCTGTCACTGCAGGCCCAGTCATCACAAACCTAGCCCTTTAAAACGGCACTCAGCTGTCAGTTCCCAGTCCCGTACTGTGGAGTCCAGCCTGGGCACTCTGCTCAAGGTCAAAATCAAGGAATGGGCTGCACTGAGTTCTTGTCTGGAAATTCTGAGGGAAAATGTTTCCATGCTATTCTTGCTGTTGGCAAAATTATGGTTCCTATTCCCTTGCTCTCAGCTTCCAGAGGTCAGCTACATTCCTTGCCAGTGGCCCCTTCCTTCCTTCAGTCAGCAGCGCCACAGCAAATCTTTCTCAGGCTATGAATCTGATGGCCTCTTCTGCATTCAGCTGAAGACAACGCTGCTTAACGGGATAGGGGGATGAGGGTCAGGAAGAGTTCTTCCATGTCACAGCCAGCACCCCATGGAACATAACCCAATCACAGGACCAAAGTCCATCTGTGCACAGTCCCAGGTTGTGCAATGTGCACACTAGAGGGTGGGAAATCTCAGGTGCCATCCTGGAATACTGCCCACCGCACCCCTGAGCTTGGAACTGGCTCACCTCTGCCTCTCTCTCTGCAGAGGACATCCTGGGCTTACAGGCCACACGGCCCTGGGAGTTTTACCCCAGCAGCTCCTGCCGGACAGTGGTCTTCCCACTGCTGACTTCTGGTTCTACCTTCTGGCTGCTCAGGCTCTGGGAAGAGCTGGGGCTCCGGCCGGGCCGGGTGAGTGGCTATGCACTCCTGGTGGGGCCCCGGCTCCTGCTCACTGCCCTCTCCTTTGCCTTGGACGGGGCCGTGTACCACCTGGCCCCACGGTGGGGGGCAGATCGTTGGAACGCCCTTGTCCTGCTGTCTGGTTCCTACGTCATCCTGGTCTTCTACACAAGGACTTTCTCCAATGCCATCGAGGGACTGCTCTTCACGTGCCTGCTGATGCTGGTGCCCCCCCAGGCAGCACGGAGCCACACACTCAAGACGCCTGCTCCAGGTCCTCGGTGGCACAGCTGGCTTCTTGGCAGCATCGTGGCTGCTGGCTTCTTCAATCGGCCCACCTTTCTGGCATTTGCTCTGGTCCCCCTCTTCCTCTGGGGCTCTCGGGGAGCCATGAACCCTGGCTTCAAGTCCCTGATCTGGAAGGCCCTGCTGCTGCTCCCAGGGATGGCCCTCACTGCAATGGTGTTTGTGGCCTCGGACAGCTGGTACTTCTCCAGCCTCTCTAGATCCAGCACCCTGGTGCTTACGCCTGTTAACTTCTTGCACTACAACCTGGATCCCCACAATCTGGCAAGGCATGGCACACACGCGCGGCTCACTCACCTGGCAGTTAACGGTTTCCTGCTCTTTGGGGTACTGCATGCGCAGGCCCTGTGGGCTGCATGGCAACAGCTACAAGTCTGCCTCCAGGCCTTTGCCCAGGTGGGCCTCTGGAGGAGGCTGGGTGCCCATGGCCTGCTGTCCAGCCCCAGGTCTAGCCTCCTTCTCCTGTACTTCACACCCCTGGCCCTGTTGTCCGCCTTTAGCCATCAGGAGGCTCGGTTCTTGATCCCCCTCCTGGTCCCTGTGGTCCTGCTCTGCAGTCCACGGACACAGCCTGTGCCCTGGAAGGGGGCTCTGGTCCTTTTCAATGCCCTAGGTGCCCTCTTCTTTGGCTGCCTGCATCAGGGGGGCCTGGTGCCCAGCCTGCAGTACCTCGAGCAAGTGGTCCACGCACCTGTGCTCCCGAGCGTGCCCACCCGCTACACACTCCTCTTCACCCACACCTACATGCCCCCCCAACACCTCCTCCACCTCCCAAGCCTTGGCTCTCCCGTGAAGGTGGTAGACATGGGTGGGACTGAGGACTGGGTCCTATGCCAAGCCCTCAACAATCTCACCAGACAACCAGCCTGCCAAGGGGCCGGGGGACCGTGGCTCTGCCGCCTCTTTGTGGTGACCCCTGGCACCACAAGGCGTGCTGTGGAGAAGTGCAGCTTCCCCCTCAAGAATGAGACACTCATATTTCCCCACTTGACCCTGGAGGATCCACCAGCCCTGTCTTCCCTGCTGAGCGGGGCCTGGAGGGACCACCTCAGTCTCCACATCATGGAGCTGGGAGAGAAGCCTGACAACACAGCAGAGCAGCCACTGCCCAGGATTCGGCCATAAAAGAAGCCACCATACTTTCCACGTGGGTAGCTGGTTTGGGCTGCTAGGCCACAGCCACAGGTCTCTTTCAGGATTTCCACCGCTGCCTCTCTAAGGCACAGCTGTTGGGTGTGCGGCCTTCTTGGTGAGCTGGCACTTCTCTCTCGGAGAACAAAGACCTGATGAGTCATGGTCCTGGTGTCAAGGTCCCCAAAGGATCCTGATGTGAATATGGCACCCGCTGTCTGCGCCTGCCCTAGTCCTTCGGGCCATCATGATGTTTTAAATACGAAATAGTGCCTGGTTGTGAAGACAGGAACTACTAATGACAGACAACTGTTTGGCTACCTAAGTCAATCTGGCCTGTCGGATCCCAGGAGGGCAATGTGGTGACACAGAGAACAGGAGGCTCGGACTCAGGGGCGCCCTCTAGTCCCAGACCTGCCACTCACAGACCGTGTGACCTTGACAAAGCCCCTTTGGCTCAGAACACAGGAGGCCAGAGAATCTCTGCAGAATGTGCCAGCTAATTTTGTCATTCCTGGACCCCACAGCACACGTCCCCTGGCTTAATAGGCATCTCTCCCACAAAGCCCTTTAAGAATGCAAGTGGGAGTGGCAATGCATCTAATGGCACCTTGGTACCTGCTGTCTCTGTGTTCGGTTATTATCCAAACGAGTTATTCTGGAAGTTTTCTCCCCTCTCCTACTCCTGTTCCTAAGCCCTCCGGCCATTGCTGCACCTTGCCCTGCAGGCTCAGGTGTTCTCCCACCTCAGCGATGTCACTCAGGTCCTTCCAACCTGCCCCGTGGGAACACAGGTTGGAATCTATGATGCTTGGTCAGTACCGGTTACATTTAAAGGCTTCAAGCTTCCTAGATGGAATGATTAATTGTGTAGCCTAAGTAGAGCCCATCAGACACCCAATCAAGAGCCGGAAATGACAGGGCACTTCTGTACACAATTAGCATCCTAATTGTAGGTCCGTTAGCTGGACCAGTGGTTTGTATCCCAGACCCACAAAAGTGAACAGGAATCCCGGTAGTCTTAGTGCCTGGTGGTGACGGCGGTGGAGGAAGACAGGCACTGGGGCAGGGTAGATGCTGTGGAGAGCGGTGATTACGGATTTAGGCCCCGGAGTCAAATGCCTGTACTCACATTCCGCTCTGTAAGGCTCTGGGCAACGTAAGAAGTAATATCCACTTCCTCCCACGAACGCGCTGTAAAGAGTTAAGTGTGATAACCCACACTGAGAGCAATTAGCAAGCGCCAGCCCAGAATAAGCACTCACTGTGTGTGCCGGCCTACAGCGCCCAGGCCTCCCAATCCACCTGGTCTGAGAAGCACCACACTCACGCCGGTTAATCAGCTCACGCATTTAATCAGAGGATTTCGGCAGCTGCAGGGCCGTGTTTCCATCCATGATCTTCCCCGCATATCTAGCCCGAGTTCTTGTCCCATTTGTAGAGGGCAGGCTCCCTTTCTGGCTGCGTCCCGGGGCAGCCCCTCAGGCTTCGGGGTCTTTGGCCACACGGAGCTCTGCCCGTCACAGGGCTTCAACGAGGAGGTCCGTTCGGCCTGGGCTCTTTGTAGTGGGACGTCTGCAGGCCGGAAATCAGAGTCAGGGTTTCGAAGCTGTGCCCAGTTCCCGGGATGACTCCTCAGCGCCGAAGCCACTGTACAGCCCCGAAGCGAAAGTAGGCGACCTCGGCCCGGGCTCAAGGGTTTGCGCCTGGACCCCTCTGGCTCCCCGGTGGTGTCCCCGGGCGATCCCGGAGGCCACGGCGTAGTTCCTGTGTGAAGGCGTCTCGGAATCGCGCGGCGCGACGACCCAGCGAGCCGGCGGGCCCCGCCGCGAGGCCCCGGAGACGGCGGGCCGCGTCCTGACCGCGCAGCTGGGCCTGCAGCAGCGCGAAGGCCGTAAGCTGCGCCGCACGCCGGATGGGCCGAGACTCGGCCAGCCGCTCCACCAGCTGTGGGCTGTGCAGCAACACAGCCAGCAGCCGCCGAAGAACCATCCTCGTGAGAACGTCCCGGAACCAAGAGCACGCCTCCCTCGTCCCCGGACCGGCGGCAATGGGCCGCGGACTGTGTCCGCCTCCGCGCCGTCTGATGACGACACTGCCGCGCTCGGATTGGTCTGGAGACTCCCACTGTGCGCCGCGTCCGCGCGTTTCCGTTTCCGCCGCCGCCGCTGCTGCCGCCGCCGCCGCCCCAGTCCGGTTGTTCTCGGGAGTCGGCGCGTCGTTGTGCAGCTGTCTGAGCTATGTCGGGAGGCCTTCTGAAGGCGCTGCGCAGTGACTCCTACGTGGAGCTGAGCCAGTACCGGGACCAGCACTTCCGGGTGAGGGAGCCCGGGCCGCGCGACGGGCAGACCCTTGAGCCAGGACGCTGAGAAACGGTTTGCTCTTGCACATTTCTGCTGCCCCGAAACGGGCCATGGGTCCCCGGTGCCTGCTGGGGAGGCAGCGATGTTGGAGGGGACCCCACTCTGTTTCCGAGAGAGAGAGTTTGAGATTCGCTTTCCCGTTGCCTTGCAGCCGCTCCTCGTGCGCGGCCGGCGCAGAGGGCTCGAGCGGCGGCGTCAGCGCTGGCTGCTGTTCCTGCAGGCCGTGCGTCGGGAAAGTGACTTGTGATGAGGGGAGAGACTTTTTCATTGCTGGAGCGTGTGGAGGCGCCTTTCTGACACACATACCGTCCCCCGTCGGTCCCCCCCCCCCCCCCGGTCTTAAATAATCGGCCAGTGTTCTTTGACGCTTCGGATCCTTTTTAAAATTTTTTGTTAGTGGCTCTAAGTGGTGGGTGGGCGACACAAAATTGAGTCCTGTCTCTAACGTCGGGGAGAGTTCGGAGTGGGGTGGCAGATCGGCCACCTAGAGGATGCCCGCGTGTTTAGATGGAAGAATGCTGGATTTCAGAAGGGGGGTTTTAGGCTGTATTACAACATACTTTGGGGAAAGGGGGCAGCTGCAGATACTTAGAGATGGGCTTTCCCGGTGACAGCGGGGATGGCCAGAGGTTGCGGCAGAGCAGCACTCATAACCTAATTACTAGGGAAACTATTGAACACCGTGTCGCAGTGTTTCGTGTTCCGTTAGGCGAGCTGGGGAGTGGGGGAGGCTGTTGCAGGCATTTGGGGAGTGAACCAGACTGCTTCTTTAAAAATCAGTGTATATTATTACATAGTCCAATTGGTTTCCTATTTGAGAAATTGGTTCACTCCCCAAATGCCTGGGAGACAGGAACTCAGTGACTTGAGGCCTCACCCATTGCTTCCAAGGGTGAGTATTAGCAGGAAGCCGGAATCAGAAGCGTAGCTAGGGCTTGAGCCCAGGCAGTCTGACCAGGATGTGGGTGTCCTAACTGCTGTGCCAAACACCAGCCCTCAGTTTTCTTGTGGTGTGAGTTTAGATGGTTTCGCTATTTCTCTAATTACCACTGAATGCGATCACATAAAACTGTTGTTCTAAGTAATGCGCTATAGAGCATTCAGGGACAGCTTATGCAGAGTGATTCTTGGAGTGAAGAGAACTGATCAGCACTACATGTAGAGCAGTGACTGAAGAAGTGAGGGCCACTGGAACAGTGCCCTGTGCGTGCTGGTGTGGATCTACTCATGGCCCTACAAGCTGGAATGCCACTGGTGTGGTTATCTTGGACTCTTAAGCTAGATCAGAGCGGCGGGAGAGTAAGTCAGCTGATGGGCCTCATATTTAATCACATGTATCCTTCCCAGTATGGAGGCTAGAAGGTCCAAAACAGCCATATATGGGTTTCTTTCTTTACTCTTTTTTTTTTTTTTTTTTTTTTTTTTTGACAGGCAGAGTGGACAGTGAGAGAGAGAGACAGAGAGAAAGGTCTTCCTTTGCCGTTGGTTCACCCTCCAATGGCCGCCGCTGCAGCCGGCGCACCGCGCTGATCCTGGCAGGAGCCAGGAGCCAGGTGCTTTTCCTGGTCTCCCATGGGGTGCAGGGCCCAAGCACCTGGGCCATCCTCCACTGCACTCCCTGGCCATAGCAGAGAGCTGGCCTGGAAGAGGGGCAACCGGGACAGAATCCGGCGCCCCAACCGGGACTAGAACCCGGTGTGCCGGCGCCGCAAGGTGGAGGATTAGCCTATTGAGCCACGGCGCCGGCTCCATATATGGGTTTCTTTCTTAAAAAAAAAAAAAAAAAAGATTTATTTGAGAGGGAGAGGTAGAGAAAAAGGTCTTCCATCCGCTGGTTCACTTTCCAAATAGTCGCAACAGCTGGAGCACAGCTGATCCTTCCTCCAGGTCTCCCACGGGGGTGCAGGGGCCCAAGCACGCAGGCTGTCTTCTGTAGCTTTCCCAAGCCATTAGCCAAGACCTGGATTGGAAGAGGAGCAGCTGGGATACAAACCAGCGCCCTTATGGGATGCCAGCACTGTAGGTGGAGACAGCCTATTACACCACAATGCCAGCACCCAAGATACTGGTTTCTGTGAAGGCATCATGTCTAGTCCATGATGAGCCATCTTGTCCCCAGGGATTGTCAGGTGTCTTGGTTAAAGCCAATTATATATTCCTGTCTCTGGTTTATCTTCCAAGTCAGGAACCTCACTAAGAAGATCTTTTTAGTGATCATTATCTTTTTTCCTGAACTCTGACCTTGTAAGTCATCTAAGCCATTGTTGCTTTGACAGTTTTATAAGGGAAACTTGATCTTTGAAAATCCATTTTTCTCTACAGAGAGAAGGGCCCTTCCTTATATACTGGGATTTTTCTTTTTTTAAGATTTATTTATTTACTTGAAGAGTTACAGAGAGGCAGAGAGAGAGAGGTCTTCCATCCGCTGGTTCACTCCCCAGATGGAAGCACAGCTGGAGCTGCACCAATCCAAAGCCAGGAGCTTCATCCAGGTCTCCCACATGGGTGCAGGGGCCCAAGAACTTGAGCCACCTTCTACTGCTTTCCCAGGCCACAGCAGAGAGCTGAATTGGAAGTGAAGCAGCCGGGACTCGAACCAGTACCCATATGGGATGCTGGCACTGCAGGCAGCAGCTTTACCCACTACGCCACAGGACTGGCCCCTATACTGGAATTTAAACTTGGGCCATTAGAGAAAGATCCAATGCTGAGTATATGGAGTGTGAAAGAAAAAGGCACACTGCTTGTCTGGCAGTCTAATGCAGGAATGGAAAGGTGGCATGCACAGTGTCATTATTGTGAGCCTGACCCTCCCCTCCTGGACCTTGCTTAAGTGCTTTACAGAATTTGAATTCCCCCTCTTATTGGCAAGTTTTTGTGGTGGATTGGAATGATAAGGGAATTTTATTTCCAAATCAGAACTAATGTTTTATTGTACTTGGAGATACTATTTAAGCAAGGCTCTCTTTAAGTAAGTTGTATTGTTTAACTCTGTCTCTATTTGAAATTCTAGGGTGACAATGAAGAACAAGAAAAATTACTGAAGAAAAGCTGTACATTATATGTTGGAAATCTTTCCTTTTACACAACTGAAGAACAAATTTATGAACTCTTCAGTAAAAGTGGTGACATAAAGAAAATTATTATGGGTCTGGATAAAGTGAAAAAAACAGCATGTGGATTTTGTTTTGTGGAGTATCCTTCCTGTGTTATCTAATGTAGCTGTTGAACTAGGATAGAGCCGAGAGTGGCTGGCTGCCTGTTATTTAAAAACTGAGGGGGCAGGCACTTGATGCAGCAGTTAAAGCCCCTGCTTAGGATGCCCACATCCCATACTGGAATGCCTGGTTCAAGTCCACCTTACTGTTGTGCACACTGGGAGGAAGCAGGTGATGGCTTAAATGCCTAGGTCTTTGCCGCTCACATGGGAACACCAGGAATTAATTCCGGGTTCCTGGTTTTGACCTGGCCCTGGCTCACCAGTTGCAGGCATTTGAGTCAGTGGATGGAGTGTGTCTGTCTCTGCCTGAAAATAAATACAAAAATTTTAAGTGAGGCTATTGAGCAGTCATCACTACCTCTTTTTCTTTCTGTGTCTATACCCCTATATTCTGAAAGTTGGTTATACTTAAATTCTACTCTGAAATCCATGCTTTATGGTTGATTCTTTAAGAAAACATTCCAAGTTGGGCCCTGTGCCACAGCAGGGCAAGCTGCTATTTGACATACCTGCATCACATATTGGAGTGGCCAGTGTGAATACTGGCCTGATTCCTGCTAATGTACCTGGGAAGGAGGCAGATGATGGCACAAGTACTTGAGTGCCCGCCACCCATGTGGGAAACCCAGATGGAGTTGACTGTTGCCTGGCCCAGCCCTGGATGTCAGGGGTATTTGAGGAGTGAACCAGTGGATGGAAGATAGATCTTTTTCACTCTGCCTTTCAAGTAAACAAATCTTTAAATTAAAAAAAATTTTAAGTATATGAGGATACTTCAAAGTTTGTTGAAAATGGGATTAAAGGATAAGGTTATTTTGGTGGAAAGCTTTTTAAATTTTATATTATTCGAGAGACAGAGCCCCTGTCTCCTCACACGCCTGCAACAGGTGATGCTAGACTAGGTGGTAGCCAGGAGCCAAGAACTCAGTTTAAGTTGCCCATGTGATTGTCAGGAACCCAACTACTTAACCATTAGCTGCTGCCTCCCAAGGTGTGCATTAGCAAGACACTGGAATCAGGAGTGGAGCCAGGACTTAACACCAGGCAATACAAGATGCAGGTGTCCCAAGTAGCATCATAATGGCTAGGCCAAACATGTGCCCCTGATACAAAAAAATTTGAAATATATATATGTATATACATATATATGGGGTTTTCAGAAGTTTTGGAAAGTGCATTTTATTGAAAAACTGCATGGTTTTCAACTTTTTTTTTTTTACAGCAAAATAAACTTACCCTTAATTCCATGTAATGTGAACTTTTTGAAGTACTCTTGTGCCTTTGGTGTTTTAAAGTCCAGAAGTTGTATTGAAAATAAAATCCCCATGCTGTTCTAAACCTGTATTTCCTTTCTCTAGAGGCAGAAGGTACCAGTTTCTTGGATGTCTTCTAGAAACAATCCCATGGCTGTGTGGTAGCTTACTGCATGTGCATATAGACTTCCATGTCGGCACATGCAGGCCTCTTTTTAAAATGGCTGTATAAAATTTCATTATGTAGGCATGCATAGGTTTCACAAGTAAAAAGAAAACTATATTTATTTGTGATCATTAATTTTTTTTGATACCCAGTAAATACTGCCATCCTAGTTTTAAGCTAACATTACTTAATATTAACGATAGTTTATTATTGCTTAATTTATTACTGATTTTTTGGAAATTTTCTATCTGATCTAATGTCTTTTTTTTTTTTTTAAAGATTTATTTGAGAGGCAGAGCAATAGAGAGGGAGAAACAGAGCAGTCTTCCATCTGCTGGTTCACTCAGATGGATGCAATGGCTGGAGCTGGGCCAGGCTGAAATGAGGAGCCAGGAACTTCCGAGTCTCCCCTTATGGGTGCAGGGGCCCAAGCACTTGGGTGATCTGCTGCTTTCCCAGGCACTAGCAGTGAGCTGGATTGAAAACAGGGCTGTCAGGACTCCAATCAACACTGATACGGGATGCAAGAATCAACCCACTGTGCCATAATGCCAGCTCCCTTATGTCTTTTAAACCTTTTTCTGTGCCTTGAATTATGTTTATTTTGGTTGTATTGTTGCTGTAATTTTTTTAAAAAAAGATTTACTTATCTGAAAGGCAGAATTAGAGGGAGAAACCTAGAGAGATCTTCCATCCACTGGTTTATTCCCCAAATGGCTTCAATGGCCAGGCAGAAGCCAGGAATCAAGAACTTTATCTGGGTCCTCCATATGAGTGGCACAGGCCAGAGTACTTGAGCCATCATCTCCTGCCTCCCAGGGTATGTCAGCAGGAAGCTGGAGTGGAAACAGAGTAGCTGGGACTCAAACTGGTACTCCAACATGGGATGTGGCCGCCTCAAGTGGCAGTTTGACCCACTGTGGTACTGTACTTGCCCCAAAGCTGGTTCTTTGGACCCCAGACAGGGCTTCCTGTGAAGGTGATGACATGCTTTTGGAGTATGTGAGTTTCTGAGAAGCCAGAAGGAAAAGAGATTTTCTTACGGCCTACTAACATCAGAGATGATAGTTCATCCAAATACCTCATTCAGAACCCTAAGGTGCCAGCATCCCATATGAACAAAAGTTTTTGTCCCAGCGGTTCCACTTCCAATCCAGTTCCCTGCTAATGTGCCTGGGAAAGCAGCTGAAGATGGCCTAAGTGCCTGGGCCCCTGTACCCACATGGGAAACCTGGAAGAAGCTCCTGGATTCGGATTGGCCCAGCTCTGGCCCTTGCAGCCATTTGGGAAGTGAACCAGCAGATAGAAGACCCCTCTCTCTGCCTCTCCTCTGTAACTGACTTTCAAATAAATAAATAATGAATCCTTAAACACATTTTTATTTATTTGATTAAATGTTCCTTCCTACATATTTAAAAGAAGCTTAATTAAACTATACAGTATCATTTCTTACTCAATTTTGAATTAAGAGCCTCCTGTGATTGCTGTCTAATCTTGTGCCAGTTTCATCTATTAGCACTCTTCCACTGGCTTTTGTTGAGTCCCTAGTTGGCTGATGGGCTCTTCTATTTGTTGGGTGTATGCTTCCTTCTTGTCATTTCAATGAGGCCTCTAGGAAGAAAGGAGAAACCTCCTTCCATTCTTCCTTCAGACGGAAGGGACCAGACTGCCCACGCATACCAATGGGCATAAAATAGTTCTCTGGGGACAGGGAGGAGAGACAAAAGTCCATGTGGCAGCTCGTCATTCTGACAGCCAGAGTGAGTGTTTTTGCAGATTAACCTGCAAAGTTAAAGATCAACAGTCAGTGGCAGATGCTCAGGAGATGTTACTGCCAGCTGCTTTTCTGTCCTAACATTCGTTTCAGTCATTCATCAAAAGTTAGAGAGTGACTGCTACGTACTAGTCTTGTCTCAGTGAGTGTAGGATACGGAAATTTCACCAACTAGTTCCTGCCCTATGTAATAAAAGATGGGAGAAAAATATAGATCAGCATTTCCCAAACCCACAAACATGTAACTGGTTACACAGATTTTTCAAAATACTATCTCGGTGGGTATTGTGCAGTGGGTTAAGCTTCTGCATGGGATTCGCATATCCTGTATCAGTGCCTAGGTTTGAATCCTAGCTCTGCTTCGGTCCGGAATACTGCTAGTCCACACCCTGGGAACAGCAAATGAGGCTCAAGTATTCAAGAGCCAGGAAGTCTCTGCTGTCCGAGTGGATGACTCCGATGGGATTCACCTGGCTTCTATCTGGCTTAACCCTGGCTGTGGGGAACATCTGGGGAGCAAACCAGCTGATGGAAGATCTCTTTCTCTGCTTTTCAAATAACAGTAAATGAAAAGAAATACCCTCCCAAGTAGAGCTGATTAAAAAGGTTTGAGGGCTGCTAACCTAGCTTGTACTTTGAGTCTTTGTAGTGAAATGTAATGAGTTCCATGTGTACTGTAACCTCCTTTTAAATACACTATGTCCAATTTCATTGTTCCTTGGGTAAGCAGTATGTGATTTATGGTCGAAACCTGCGCTGAATATATTTTGTTTTACAAATAAAGACAGGAACAGTGGGACCAAATTTTTTTAAAAAATTTATTTGAAAAAGTTAGCAGAGAGAGGTCTTCCATTTGCTGGTCACTCCCCAAATGACCGCAGGCCAGAGAGAAGCCAGGTGAATCCCTTCGGAGTCATCCACTTGGGTAGCAGAGACTTCCTGGCTCTTGAATACTTGAGCCTCATCTGCTGTTCCCAGGGTGTGGGCTAACAGTAACCCAGACCAGAAGCAGAGCTGGTGTTCAAACTCAGGGACTGATACAGGATATATGTGAATCCCAAGCAGAAGCTTAACCCACTGCACAACACCCACTGAGATAGTACTCTTAAAAATCTCTATAAGCAGGTTTCCCATGTAGGTGCAGGGGCCCAAGGATTTGGGTCATCTGCTGTTGCTTTCCCAGGCACAGTAGCAGGGAGCTGGATTGGAAGTAGAGCAGCTGGGACTCGACTCGGTGCTCATATGGGATGTGGGCACTGCAGGCAGTGGCTTTACACACTACACCACAGTGCTGTCCCCAGGACCAAATAATTTAATGAGTATCTAAGGAATTATTATTAACGTAGCCATGGTAAGTGTCATATTTAACTCCGTACGTGCATCTGGACCAATCTCAAAACTGCAAGCTGCATTGTCTACACTGTCTAGTTGGATTCGCTTTTGTACTTTTTCCTTAACAACTCTGTTTTATTTAGATGTTGCTTCCTGTATTTCCAAATATTTAGAGAAATGTTAGTATTCCTTAATACTTAACACTTAAGATACTATTCAAGAGCAGATGCAGAAAATGCCATGCGGTACATAAATGGGACTCGTCTGGATGACCGGATCATTCGTACAGACTGGGACGCAGGCTTTAAGGAGGGCAGGCAGTATGGACGTGGTCGCTCCGGGGGCCAGGTATGCAGCAAGGGTCTCTGGGCTCAGCCTTTGCCTGACATTCCAGTCCTAATGACAGTTGTTTTATCAATATCTACTCTTGTAAATGATTTGCCTATAACTTTGGCAGAAACCTCCCATTTGTTTTGCAAAATTTGTTTAAACCTTGAAATGGTATATTCTGAGCATTTCCACAAGCCCCTATCTCCTGCTAGGGGCTAGGTACTTTATAACTGCAAGAGTGCCTACAACAAGAGCAAAGTGTACTAAAACCAGTTTTTAAAAGTTGCATCACAGGGCCTGCGCCTCAGCTCACTAGGCTAATCCTCCGCCTGCGGCGCCGGCACACTGGGTTCTAGTCCCGGTTGCCCCTCTTCCAGGCCAGCTCTTTGCTGTGCCCGGGAGTGCAGTGGAGGATGGCCCAAGTGCTTGGGCCCTGCACCCCATGGGAGACCAGGAGAAGCACCTGGCTTCGGATCAGCGCGGTGCGCTGGCCGCGGCGCGCCAGCCGCAGCGGCCATTGGAGGGTGAACCAACGGCTAAAGGAAGACCTTTCTCTCTGTCCACTCTGTCAAAAAAAAAAAAAAATTGCATCACAAATGTCCCACATGAATGTTCCCACTATGGCATCTGAAAAAGTTCCTGTGAAATGTTAGCGGGAGGCACCTTTGTTACACTGGTATTCTCTATACTGTAACTTAGTATTCTTTTTGATTAAGGTGCGAGATGAGTATCGGCAGGACTATGATGCTGGGAGAGGAGGATATGGCAAACTGGCACAAAACCAGTGAGCAGCGAGAGCCCCATCAGGAAAACTCTTGCCTGTTCAAGAACATTACCCAGGGTCTGCAAATCAGCCTTTTTTACCAAGCTTCGATCAGTGTCTACAGAGCTTGAAGCCCTTCAGTTCTCCTCTGAAGATTATTAAAGGACAGAACCAAAAGAATGCCTTTAATTCTAGCCTTGGAATCTTGGCCACGTGTCAAGGTTACCAGAGTGATTTTGTTACCAGGTCAAAAATTGTGTTTCCTGGCAAGAGACTGAATCTGAAAAGTTGATTAATCTGTCCGCCAAAACACACTTATTTTAGGAAGATTAGAGAAATCTAAAAATTGTTTTACCATGTTTGAGTCAAAGTAGGTTCATGATCCACATTGGGGCCTGGAATGATTGGTTATTTTTTATTGTTAAGTCTGCATGTTTAATAAATGGAGTTTTGTATGTTGCATAGCTTTGTTCTTAGAAACAGGTGTTTGACAACTGAATTTGTCTCTGAAGGCAAACTTACAGGTCAACTGAGCATCCTCAGTAGTTGGTGCAAAAAGTTAGCCTTGGATAGTTCAAGGAGACACCACTTGTTTCCGTGTATCAGGAAATTAGGTACAGAACTCACTGTATTATTCAGAAGATACAACTAAAGGTAAAAAAGGCCAAGGTTTGGGGGGGCATTGTGCAGCAGGTTAAGCTGCTGCTTGGGATGCCTGCATCACATATCACAGAGCATGGAATGGAGTCCAGCTTCCTGCTAATGCACCTGGGAGCCTGCAGACAATGACCCAACTACTGTGGTTTCTGCCACCCACATATTCCTGGTTTTAGCCTGGTCCCACCCCTGGCTGTGGGCATTTGGAGAGTGAACCAGTAGACGGAACACCTCTCTGTCTTTCCCTATCACTCTGCCTTTCTAATAAGTCTTTAAAAAGAAACAATTTTAAAATGAAACAAAAATGCAAAAGCAAGAGTTTATAATACAGAGAATCTCAAATACTCTATGGGGTGGGAGTGTGGACAGTCTCAGAAGTGGAAGGAAACCTCAAGAGTTGTTTTGGGGCCTGCATTGTGGAACAGCAGTTAAGCTATTGTCTATGACGCCAGCATCCCATATGGGTGTCCGTTTGAGTCCCAGCTGCTCCACTGTCAGCTTCCTGCTAATGCACCTGGGAAAGCACTCGAAGACGGCTCAAGCTTAAGCCCCTGCTACCCATGTGGGAAACAACCCAGATGGAGTTCCAGGCTCCTGGCTTGAGCCCAGCACAGCCTTGTGGCTGCTGAAGCCACTTGGGGAGTGAACCAAAGGATGGAAGATGTTTGACTCAACCTTTCAAGATTTATGACTGCAATGGCTGGAGCTGGGCTGTCTGAAACCAGGAGCTTCTTCCGGGTCTCCCATGCAGATTCAAGGGCCCAAGGACCTGGGCCATCTTGTACTGCTTTCCCAGGCCATAGCAGAGAGCTGGATTGGAAGTGGAGCGGTCAAGACTCAACCAGCACCCGTATGGGATCCATAAAGCACTGTAGGCAGTGGCTTTACCCGCTACGCCACAGCACTGGCCCCCTCAAAAATTTTTTAAAGATACCCTTCCTTACAAAAAAAACAAAGTTAAAACATTGCCTTGATATGAAAGTTGCTGTTAGGGCCATCAGATTATTTTCATTTTTCAGAGTGATCTTGGGAATACAGTGTGTTTTTAATAAAGTTTGAAGATTATGAGGATACTTAACAATCACACTTCCTGTATGAAATGTCTATTTCAGCCAATTCTGATGCTGCAGTCTACTTTACTTTTTCCCCAGATTGTGCTTATTGAGGTTGAAGCCATAATAGTGAGCTGATAATTTCTGCAAAGGGGAGTCTAGAGAACTTGCATTTGTTAGGCAATAGGTCATTTCTGATATTATGTAAAGTACTACTCACTAAAAACTCCTAGTCTAAGAACTTTTCCTGATAAAATGCATATTAAAAAATCTAACAACAGAATACCTTCTAACTTCAGTAGTTTGTAAAGTTGAAGGTAAAGTATCTTGGTGTGAATGTCTTTCATGTTATAATACATTGAACTTTTAGGTTCTCTGAAGTTCTAAAAGAGCTATAATTAGCTTTAAGAAACCATTCACAGGGGCTGCCACTTGCAGTGCTGGCATCCCATATGGAGGCTGGTTCTAGTCCCGGCTGCTCCACCTCCAATCCAAACCTCTTTCCTTGGAAAGCAACAGCAGATAGCCCAAGTCCTTGGGTCCCTGCACCCATGTGGGAGACCTGGAACAAACCCTGGCTCCTGGCTTCGGATTAGCACAGCTCCGGCCATTGCAACCAACTGGGGAACCAGTGGAGGGAAGACTGATTCCGCCCTCCCTCTCTCCCATTCCCTCCCTCTTTCTCTCTGCTTCTGCCTCTCAAACTCTGCCTTTCAAATAAATAAATCTTAAAAAAATTTCACAATTTAATGAGGATACATTGTTCATTTTCTTACACTGTAGTTTGAACCAAATGTTTTATATATTTTTGTAGTAAAACATAAGTTTGGTTTTTAGGCCTGTAGAAATCTAAGACAGTGGCTCCTACCTGAATTGTGTCTTCTGTCACAGATTTTAATAAAGTTGGGCCAACTTACTGTCTCTGTCTCATTGCCTACAGAGGAGGACATGTTCTTGAACTCCCTTAAACTATGAGTGACTTTTAAGGGGAATCTATGAATAATGTGTAATTTGTACATCCATTTTGATTTGACACTTGCAACTAGTTATGATTTTATTTGAAAACTTGGACTTGCTGTGAAAAAGATAAAAGATGCACCAAGCAAACTTGTCTAATGATAGAATAAGTCTTCCAGAAATCATGCTTTGGGATGATTAAAGAGGAGGGGAAATTAAGAGGACCTCATGTTTCTTGGGCTTGAGGATGCTAACTATGACAGTCTGCATTGCACCCACTTTGCTGTTTCTCTCACTTTTAATCGGTCAAAGTGAAAATTCAGACATGTATACTAAGTAGGGAATGCGATTAGGTGAAATGTCAGATCTGGCTAGACTGAAAACCTGTAAACTTACTTGGTCCCTATTATTCATTATTAGTTAAAGTGAGAAGCTTGAGAATGGCTTTAGAGCTGTGCCACCCATTATGGTAGCTAACCACTGGTAGCTATTTAAGGAAAATAAAGTTAAACGTTCACTTCCTTATTCACACTAACCATAGCTAAAAGCTCATTAGTCACATGGGGCTAGTGGCTGTAGTTGGGACAAAAATATGGAACATTGCCATCACTAGAGAAGATTCTGTTGGACAGTGCTGCTCTAAGGGTAGGCTGCGAAGGGCCTACACCATTCGCTGCACTTCAGTGAGCCTTCTCTTTACTGGACTATCACTGGGAATAATTACTCCTCCACAAATAGTACATGTTATTCAACACAGAGAACACAAGTTTATAAAGGCATTTATTTTTCAAAAAAATATTTTGCTAGAAGGGTTGAGTATTGTAATTTTACATGATCATAATCTTTTAAATAAATTTTTTCTGACCAACAGGTACCATTTAAGTGAACAACCTGTCTAGATCCGCTTTTGTAACACCCAATACAATTAGCACTTTGATGGTTTTCCTTAAGTCCTCTTCAGGCCAGGAGGCAGAGCCTAGCACATAATGTATGTACTTTGTAACTGCTAATTAACTTGGTTTCTTAACATAAGTTAAGCAGAGCAGGTAATAAGTGTATCTAATTCACACTGTTAATACACTTTTTCTTGCCTGAAGGGACTGATACCCCACAGACCCTCCCCCCCATTACTTCTAACCCAGGGAAGCAGTGAACCACAAGTGTAGAGAAAAAAGGGCAACTTAGATTAGGCTAGTGTTGGCTATGAACCATTAGGTCTGTTACTGTTTTATTCCAACTGCAAATCCAAGATGACCATGTCACTCATATTCAACACTAAGCAGAAAATACAATGCAAAAGCCAGAAATGGGGTTTGGGGGATTAATAGCAGCAATCGCTTCTTTTCTATCTTTAATGAAGCTAACTGAAAGTTGGCTCTCTATAAGTGAACTTAACTAAAAGTTGACTTAAACCCTATGTTCATTGTATTGTTTTAACAAAAGAACGGCCACTGGAAAAGAAGCGACTATATAGCCTGGTAAGTTTGCTCATAGGATTGGGCAACTTGTTGAAAGCCTTCATAAGCAGCTTTTAGTTTGTACAAGCCCTGCATTCAACCCCAAAAGTGTAATGGCTGCCTACCTTGTGGGCACCCAAACAGTTCAGTGCCAAGCTGATAACAGTAAAGCAATGCCTGTCTTTTTCACCAACAGCCAGGGGTTATTTCAAAAATACCTTTATTGCAGGAAGCAATTATTGCAAACATCAAGACAAAAGACATCCTATTTAGGACTTGAGCTAAATAGAGGTTTATACCTAATTACAAGAAGAGAGAGGAAAGCAACTATTTGTGCTGAAACCAAGTTTCATAAATGACAAACACTTGTAAAACAGACTTTCAAAATACTCAATGTTTAGGTTAAACCATGCTGGGCATCACACGTTAAGGTGCCCAATTAAGCTGGAAGTGAAAAAGTAACTGCACTTGGAGAGCTCACGTAAGGGTCACTATGCTCATCCCTGCAGGCTCAGTGCTAACGTGACACGCATTTCTCACACTAAAAGAAATGGCAACTCAAGCTCTGGGCTTTAAAACTCTGGCAGGAACACAATTCAGTCTCTGGTATGGCTGGGCTGTCAGTGGGGAAGTGAGTTACCGGCTCACTTTGAAATAACAAGACATTTCGTATCCAGAGCCATGTTACTGGCTACTTTGGTAATAGCCTGGGGTCTGGAGGTCAGAATGAGAGGCAGGTGTCTTGCAAACAAATTTTGAAAAATCTGTTTTGCACAATTATGTCTGGAAACCTCAGGAAAACATCTTCCTCACTTTAAAATGTCATCTTTCCCAATGCTGACACAACCCTGCCAGTAGCAGCATGAAGTGCCTCTACTCTCAGTCTTTTTAATCACCTGAAGCATAGTAAGAAATACTGACCCAGTTCCATGCTAAGAGCTTGGTCTGGAGCACTCCAGAGAGGCGCGGGGGCTGTTTCCCAGGGTCAGCACTGGTGTGAAGAACACTGTGTACACATGATCTGACTCAGCCCTCAGCTGCTGGCAGTCAGCCTTTCCCAGCTGTCCCTCAGGGCCAAATTCAACTAAACATCTCAGCTTTTTCAACACTTCTCATGCCTAAACAGATTTATCTTCTGCTGTACACCTGCTTGTTTTTCTGAAAAAGCTTCTGGTTTCTTTTGTACACATTTGTTGCCCCCCACACCCAGTTCAGAAAAGGTAACTGAATAGGTTTAATATACTTCTTTCCTTATTTCCTTTCTTTTAAAAATACGTCATAAAAGGCCACATTAATGATTTAAGATCCATTACTTTAATGCTGATGCAGTTAAGTGGAAGGTCAGGGCCACTTTACAGCCTTTCCCCAGATAGGTTCAGTAGAAAAGATGAAAATCCCTGTGCTGGAGTGCTGGGCCGGTCACGCAGAAGCCAAGCGTGCCTCCCACGTTGCTGACATGGCTGAAGACAAGGGGACATTTACTGTACTCTATTACTTTCTTTATTCTCATCCCACCTGCAAAGACCTGAAATCAGTCTTCAATGTTGGATATTCACATTTCTGAGACCCTGATAAATTGTAATTTTCTGCAGTGGAAACCAAGGAAGTGACAATTTCAAAATTACTCCTAGAGAGGCTGAATTCTCATTAGACCACTGATTTGATGGATAAGATTTTTTTTTTTAACAGGTCAAAAACCAGAAAAATCCAGGCAATTCAATGTCTTCGCCAAAGTCTTGATGCAATTTAGGCTGTGTTTGATAATTCTTGAAATTTGACTTCAGATAACTGGCCCACACGGTCACTATCTTTTTCTCATACCTTACTTAATGCTTCCCAAAGCAGGCACTGTGCTTCCAAGTGTACTTCCATAAACAGAACACACCATCAGTTTATAGTCACTTCCATTTCACCCTTCAAAAGGAATGCATCTCTCTAGGATTCACTAGGAGAGAGAAGTCAGTGAAAGGTGCTCCTGGTAAAAGTAAAACAGGACTGGCGTTGTCAAAACCACTCCTGGCTACCCTTTATGCCCCAGGGAACGTCTACTACAGAGTTAAATTATATCAAAAACATCTTGCATTTTTAGGTTTTGGGATTAAATTTTAAACCTGTATTCAGTTCATGTCTAACTAGTTTCAAAAGCTGCACCAAATCTACTAGGCTTTTTTAATACTCTTCACTGCATGCTCTGTCTATATGCATGCGTTTGGATAATAAATATTAAATATGGGGGGGGACGCGCGGAATCCATAAAATTAAAAATGAAACCAAACTGAACATTAAAAAATAGTACATGGTATAGCTGGAGAAATGAATAAGGGCAAAAAATAAATTTGAGGTAACAATAGTGGCTCAACACCACTGATCTGAAATATCTGTAAAAATTCAAATAAGTGTTTGGAGATTCAAGTAACAAACCATCTGCTCCAATGTGGCCAGACTTCCCAAAGTCCTTGCTGAGTTTCAGTCCATGAGCCGGCACTCACACAGCTCCTTATAAATCCGCTTCCGGACCCGAGGCATATCTTCTTGGGAAAACTGGAAAGGCTGCTCTAAGGCGAGGCACTTGCAGTACTGCAAAGGTCCCAGAGACACTTAAGTGGCGTGTGGACTGGTTTGCCAGCCCAGTATGTTTTACTAGATGCAGGCCTAACAGAATCTAAGGCAGCATCTCATTAAAGTTTGTTGAAACTTGTAAAAAACATAATGTTTTAAAATATTTACTTGCAGGTACATGGCTAGAAACTCCCCTCCCTGACCCAATCTGGGAAAACAATCCTGTGAAAACAGCAGCCAAAGTACAACCTGCTGAGAATATAGCCAGACCTAACATGGCTGCTAAGTGGGAAACACTTAGTACATTGGTAGGGTATGTGAATGGACCCTAAGGTCCAAGATCTTTGAAGTCTCTAAATTCATGAGTTACAAGTTTTTTTCTGTTGCAGTGTCCTGCGAGCACCCCTGCAGAAATAAACCGCTGCATGCAGATCCCATGCAGTGTAGTACTGACTGAACTGTAAAACCCTCTACCTCTCAAGTTTGTGCTAATGCTGCCATCTGAGAAATATGTTCACCAATCTGTAAAATTCAGATCCCTAAAACAGATACAATAATCTGACCTTTAGAATCTCTTGCCGTTCCAATGGGGAAACGACATTAACACTATCCTAGTCATTATCTTTATCCAGTCTTTGACAGATCAAACAGTTAAGTCACTAAAAGAAAACATAAGTGTCAAAACCACCAGTGCTCAAATTGCCAAATTATTAAGGCTAAATTCCTTTTGATCAATTCAATATCCCTTTTGTAATCAAGATTTCCACATAGACACACTATTAGGTGAACCATGTGGAACTGCCACTTGATTAAGGGTGGAAGTATAAAATATTCTTGATAAAAAATGGGGGGGTGAACCAATGGAAGGAAGACCTTTCTCTGTGTCTCTAACTCTGCCTGTCAAAAAAGGGAAAAACATGTATAACTGATATTTTTAATAGCCC